CGGGCATTCACCCAAAACAATAAGGATCATCCTTAGGGTATAAGGAATAGGTATGGAAAGTTTCAAAAGAATCTGTTAAGAATTGCGGCCTGTAGGCGAAACACACACACAAAAATTGGACGTGGCTGTTCCGGGGGGTCGGACATGCACCAAAAATAATAGAGGTCATCCTTAAGGCATAAGAAAGTTTTCAAGACAAACGACTTACAATTGTGGCCTGTAAGCAACACACAAAAAGAAAATGGGCATGGCTCTGCCCCTGGGGATTGGGCATGCACCACAAACAATAGGGATGTTCCTTAGGGTATAAGAAATAAGTATGTAGAGTTTCAAGACGATCAGTTAAGAATTGCGGCCTGTAGGCGATATACACAAGACACATACATACACACAGGGGGGGAAAGCAATATATGTCCATATTCATAATGTGGATGTATAAAAAGAATAATTTTGTGTTGAATTTATTTCAAAATGACCTACACAAAAACAAAAGTGCCAAGTTTGAGAGTTTTTATACTAGATTATCACAAAATAATACATTAATTACAAATATACAGTCGAGTAAAGAAAAATTAAATGGCCAACACCATGTCTTCTCGTGCTATCCAAATTGAGATAGGTGACACGTTACGAGGGGTGATTGATAAGTAGTGAGCCTCGATTGGAAAACCGTTCAACACAATGATACCACGTTTTGCATGTGCACTATTATGTTCCTCGGGCTCTGTCACAAACTTTCATCACATTCGGTTAAACTGTTTGGTTGTGACAGGTCATAAAAATCAAGTAGGGTCTGTTGTTATCAGAAAATGGACCATATCAAGGCGAGAGCTGTGATTAAGTATCTGCATAAAAAGGGTCTAACACTGAAAGCCATACATGATGATATGGTTGAGACGTTAGGAGATGATGCTACTTCATATGCCACAATTAAAAGGTGGTCAGCTGAATTCAAGCATGGCCGAGACAGCATCGAAGACGAACCACGCCCTGGTCGACCAAAAACTGTGTCAACACCTGAAATGGTACAAAAAATCCATGATCTGATAATGAATGAACGGCGAGTTACTGAACGATTCATAGCTTGGGTAGTTGGTATTAGCCAGGAGAGAGTTCATCCTATTATCACTGAAACTTTGGAAATGACAAAGGTTTCAGCATGATGGGTGCCAAAGCATTTGACGCCTGATCAAAAGCGTTCAAGACACATCATGTCAGAAGAGAATCTAGCCTTATTTGAAACCGATCCTGACCGCTTCCTAAAACAAATTGTTACTATAGATGAGACTTGGGTCCACCACTTTCAGTCAGAAACAAAAGAGCAGTCAAAACAGTGGAAACATGTGACGTCGCCGACCCCAAAGAAGGCAAAGACTGTTTCATCGGCAGGAAAGGTGATGGCCTCAGTATTCTGAGATTCTGAGGGTGTTCTCATGGTGGATTACCTCCAAAAGGGTCAAACAATTAACGGTAGATACTATGCAGCACTTATAAGGCAGTTGAGGCAAGAAATTAAGACCAAAAGACGAGGAAAACTGACCAAAGGTGTGATTTTCCACCAGGACAATGAGCTGGGGCACAAAACAGCTGTTGCCATGTCAGAAATCCATGACTGTGGTTTTCAACTTCTTCAGCATCCACCCTACTCTTCTGATTTAGCTCCCTCAGACTTCTATCTGTTTCCTGCTCTGAAGAAATGTCTTTCCGGTATGCATTTATCGTCTGACGAAGACGTCATTGCCGCTGTGGATTATTTTCTACACACCCAAGACAAAGACTTCTACAGAACTGGAATAAAGGCTCTGCAACACCGATGGCAGAAGTGTATTACATTGAAGGGGGACTATGTTGAAAAATAAATGCATTTTATTTGAATTCCTTGTTTCTTTCTGTGTTAGACTCACTACTTATCAATCACCCCTCATAGACACAAGTTCCTGCATTGGTGCTTTGAGTTGTTCCATAGCACGCAGTGAACCAATAAGTGATTTATATTCCGATAATGGAACAAATCTTGTTGGTGCGAAAAACGAATTGAGATCATCAATCAAGGACTTGAATCTGACTGAACTAAACAACTTCGGAATAAAATGTGGCTTTAAATGGCATTTTAACCCACCAGAGGCATCCCATCATGGAGGCGTGTGGGAGAGCAAAATCAGAACTGTTAGGAAAGTTCTGCATTCCTAATAAAATGAGCAATTTCTCTGAATCTCTCAAACAGAGGAACAATTAAGAACATTTCATGTGTGAAGTCGAATCTGTTGTAAATAGTAGACCCTTAATTAAAGTTTCAGACGATATTAATGATTTTAGTGTGATAACTCACAATAGTTTGTTGTTGCTACAGCCTTCAACTACTATTCTGTGTGGTGTTTTCTCTCCTGGGGATCAGTATTCTCGCCGCAGATGGAGACAAATGCAATATTTTTCAGATCTGTTCTGGAAAAGGTGGACCAGGGAATATTTACCCCTCCTCCAACGTCGACAGAAATGGCTTAAACCCTTAAGTAATTTTCAGAATGGTGATGTAGTTTTAATTGTAGATGAATCTCTTCCGCAAGGCTTATGGCTGCTTGGATTATTCATCGAAACATATGAAGATAAAAATGGTAATTTTAGAATTGTGAAATTAAAGACAAAATCAACAAAGTTAGTGAGACCAATTATCTAAATTATGTTTAATCTTACAACAAGAAAATGGAGATAGACTCTAAATGTGAAATTTAGTAACTGAATTTTTTAGTGTGTATCCGCTACACTGTGAAATATGAAATTTAGTAGGTTCATGTCTGTGAACTGTAATTTGTGAATTCCGTATTTGCCATTACACTAGACACCATGAACCCTACCCATTAGAACTAATTTTGTGGATTCTGTATTCGCTTATTACACTGTGAAATAGATAACTTCAATTTGTGAATCCCGTATTCACCATCGCATTTGTTTAGAAGGCTGTCGTACAGCATCAAGTGAACTGTAGTTTGTAAATTCAGTATTTGCGAATTACGTCGTGATTCATGAACTAAGAACATTGACAATTACTGTGGAATTATAAACTTTTGAGTTATACGGTAGAATCTGCATTAAGCAGCCACCCAAGAGAATTTTCACAACTGACCGCTTAACGGGAGTGGGGCTCTTAATAAAATCTCGGTGATTTTTGTGCTGACATAAATTAAATATTAATATGAATTAATTTTATTTGATCAAAAAAGCACATGAACAAAAAAAACATTGCTGATTTTGTCACCTATTTACAGTCGGTGTAACTCTGTATGTAATATTATAGGAGGCGCTAAAACATCTGTTTAACAACAAAGTGGCAATGGAAAAGAGATACTAGATGATCGTGTGTCGTTATGTGTCAAAACAATGAACAGGATAGTCGTTAAATAAAACAAAAGATTAATTAACAGATAATCCCGGGTTAATTGTTATTTTTACATTTCTTTTTACCTGATCAGTGGGGGTCCAGTTATACTACTCACGGGATTAGCAGGGGTGTTACAAAAAACAACAAGATGGTATCATTCAACAATGGCCGTTGAATGGGCGATGTTTTGTTGAATTTATTAGTAAAATAGTGACCGCTGGCCGCGTTAGAGGAGTGACTGTTGAATAAAGAGATGAAACAACAAAATTTTTACGGGGGGAATTTATTGTGACTGCTTACATGGAGATGTCGCTGAATAGGAGTGGCTGCTCATACAGATTCTACTGTAACTTACGCATTACAAATTGATACTTTAGTGATGATATAAAAGATAGAAATAAATGTTTCTAGAGTTTGATATTATGTATATTAAATATTGACTATTTTATTTAAGATGAATTATGAGTGTAGTTATCAAGACCGAGTGTAGAATTTAATTTTATATTACCAGGGAAGAATAGGCATTTTTAGTTGTACATGTTAATCTTGTAAATTTTGGTCACATGTTTATTTGTATATCTCATATTCATTCGATAGGGGCCGGTATGTTATGCCCAAAATTAGTATTTTGTGTAAAAAAAGACAAAGAACACTGAATGCTGCCGATGAGTGCCGCATCCATGTATCCAGTTGAATTATCTGTATTATTGTCATAGTAACTGATTATTATTGGTTAAATAAAAGCCATGCGGTTATGCACGATGGTGGGCCCCTGACGTCCATATATATTGTTTTCACCTGTGTTGTTTACTGTGTTGTAGATGTAAACTTTGTTGTAGACTATAGATGTAAACTTTGTTGTAGACTATTTTGTAAGCTGTCCTGTATTATTTACATGAGTTGAATAGACAATAAACCCAATTACATGACAACCAGCGTTCGAACTAGTGATTACAGAGCACCCTCCGACTTCGTCCAGACGAGGTCCTATCATGCAACCACAGCAAAGTTTCAAAAAGTCTGTTAAGAATTGCGGCATGTAGGCAACACACAAGACACACACAAAAACTGGGCGTGGCTCTGTCCTAGGGGGTCGGGCAAGCACCAAAAATAAGAGGTCATCCTTAGGGTATAAGGAATAAATATGAAAAGTTTTCAAGACGAAAGATTAAAAATTGCGGCCTGTAGGCGACACACAGACACACAAAAAGAAAATGGGCATGGCTCTGCCCCTTTTTGATGTTCCTTAGGTTATAAAGAATAAGTATGCAAAGTTTCAAAATGATACGCTAAGAAATGCTGCCTGTAGACGACAAACAAACAAATACAAGAAATGGGCGTGGAAATAAGTGTGTAAAGTTTCAAGACGATCACTTAAGAATTGCAGCCTGTAAGCGACACACAGACACACAGAGACAGGGGTGATGGGAATATACGTTCACAAGAAAACCTCCACATTATGAATGTGGACGTATAAAAAAGGTTACAAATCAGAAAAAAACAACTTTCTTCCAACATGAGCAATGGAGCTGTGACACCTATTACAAGATAAGTTATTTGAAGCACTGATGGTTTCAGTACAAGGCGTTATAAACCAACATTATTATAGTTTAGTCCAGCTTACCGAAATCCAACTATTGGGTAACTTTTACATATATTGCACTTTGCTTCATGTTTAACTGAAAGAAATACAATAAAAATTGACACACAACACATTTTTTTTTTCTCAAGTTACAGATACATTATGGGAGATAAGATAAAGAGATGGCAGTTCTCGCTACCATAGTTAAAAACTAGATAGTGTAAAGGTAATTTGCTGGAAATTTCAGTCAAATTGATCCACTATGAGCCGAGAAAGAAGCGGGTGAAATTTTTGCATAGTCTTGGTCATCATTACTAAAATCATTAATATAAACAGTATAGTCTCGATTATCCACTTTTTCTGATTTAATTATCAATAGCCGTTAGCGGCATATAGGAATCTAATCCAGCCAACATCGAAGGCTAGCCTTGACATCGAGAGTTTATTATGGTCTGGATAAGTTAATTAATGTCTAATTGATAATTTAGATAAAATTTCAGGCCTAAAGAAAGACTTGTAATAAGCAGATTTTGCTCTTGCATAATGCATGTTTAATTAATGTAGTCAAAGAGGCTACATGTACACCGTTGAAACAAATAATACATAATAGAAATTACATGCAAACTCAAAGTTGAGAAAAGAATAATAAAGTAGATAATGTAGCAAGAATAAATAATTAGCATGTAATAATGACCCAAGGGAAATTATCCTGGCATATGTGGGCAAGTAGATTTCAACAGCTATTTTAAATTTCATGATTGAAAGAGGAAGTGTTTATTTTATCGATGAAATAAATATAAATAAATCAGTGAAATATACCTGTTTCAGTAGCAGCTACTCTATGTAAAGTAGGTAACCATACTAATGTCTGAGGTTCCATCAATAACCAACGATAAAACATATCTTCACTAACACCAGTATTACTTGATGTCTACAAAAACATATCATTATTTTATTCTAAATGTTCTTAACATAAAACGTAACCATCCCTTCAAATGTTTAATTGTAGAAAATTCACAATGCTATGTTTAAAGTTCAAACAAACCAGTTTATAGACATCCAGCAATCCATAGTCAAATATCTAATTTTATTAAAACTATTCTCTGCTTTCATCCTTTTTTTTTTTTTTTTTTACATATATACCATATATGGAATAAAACAGGGTAATTCTGTGAGAAATCATGAGTCCCACCCTCTTAACTATGTAAATGAGCTATGTAACCCTTTTTAGCAAATCAAGTGATTATATCCCAACGACTCAATATTTTAATTTGAAACTTCCAAATTGGGTAATTTAGCTATTGCACATCGAAAGACTGGGATATGTGCTCAGCCGATAAATTGATAACAACAAAAACTACTATTCACATTGCATAACTTACTAGTAGCTTACAATAATGACAGTAGAAATGCTAGTTTGAAGATCTTGTAGTTTTCACAATCTAAAGAAAAATTGTTCTGGTTTCAGTTAGCAGTTTAAATCTGTGAAGTTTTACTGCAGATCATGTCAACAAAAACTACTAATCACACTGAATAACTTTCAAGTAGCTTACAGCAATAATAGTGGAAGTGCTAGTTTGAAGATTTTGTAGTTTACACTACACAATCTAAAGTTATATTGTTCTACTTCTAGTTTCAGTTACTCAGTTAGCAGTTTAAATCTGTGAAGTTTCACTGCAGATATCTTGCAATGTGACATTACTTTACAAAAATTTCTGGGTGATGAGTAACTTTTGTGTTCATAATTTACTACTAGTCAAACATGCTCTACAAATTTTAGTTACATCAGGAAAACAACCAGCTTATTGGCTCAATGTTGATCAGGTACAATATCTAAAGGGGACATAACTCTCCAATTACCTATTGCCTCCCCTTAGTCCACATTGAATGAAACTTCCCACAAATTCATTTACAATATTCCACAGATTTATAAGTTTGTTGCTAAGTGTAAACCGGTGGTTGCCAGGTAAGATATGCCCACATTTTGCAAGAAAGTGATTTTTCGTACAATGAGGGGCCATAATCCAGAAAGTTATGGTCTGAAATGCGCAAATATATCGCAAAGGACTGAGATATTTGAGATGTAAAGATATATTTTAAGTTTCATCATCAAAATCGGATAAAAATTGTGACTTCTAGAGGGTCCACAACCTTGATATACCATTTTTTTTTTACACTATTTGCGTACAAGGGGCAGCCATTTTGTCTGGAAGTTTTGGTCCAATTTACACGAAATTTGACCTCAACTGACATTACGGTGTAACTGATATATTCAAAAGTTGTTTTTTTAAATCTGTCAATAATTGTCTCCTCTAGAGGGACCACAAATTCAGGAAATTAGGATCTATGATATGCACAAATATCAAAAGGAACAAAGATCTTTGGGTTATAAACATGCATTTCGTGCATGTGATTTTTTGGACAATCAGGGGCCATAATCCATGAAATTTCAATCTATCGTAGCAATGATCTCTGTGTTAAAATTATATTTGGAACGTGTTTAACCAGCTCTATCACATATGTGATAATGACTGGCACCAATATTGTCCTTTAATTTTTTTGCCAATTTCTTGCTCATTTACTATTGGTGTCAACTAATTTTAAAAAATTTTCAACCACCAAAAAAGTACAACTTACCGATTTATAACAACTGTTGACAACAGCACTAACATTTTTACCAAATGCTTCACTTTCTATTAACATATCTGGCAGCTAGAATACATCAACATTTAGATAATATATTTCTTCACATTTTGTTCAGATTCGATAAATTTATGCCCCGGTCAGTTGAGTTTGATAAAGAAACCTATTTCATCTCATTTAAACACCAGGGGTTGCCAGGCAAAATACATCTATATTTTGCAAGAGACAGGTAAAGATCAAGCTTAAAAAAAAAAAGAAATGTGATTTTTTGCACAATCAAGGGCCATAATGCACAAAGTTACGGTCCAATATATACACAACCTATATTTCAAGTTTCGTCAAAATCAGATAAAAATTCTGACCTGTAGAGTATCCACAAACAAATTGTGGACGAACAGGGGCGATGACATACGTCCACATGAAGTTGTGCGTGTATAACAACACAATTTATCTGTAATGCAATCACTGGTTTGCTATGTTTCAACAAGTGTTCTCTTATCATTCTCAAGTACAAATATACATTGAGTTTCTATCTAATCCCAATATTACTGAAACTTCTCTATATTTTAAGAGATCAAACTCTTTTTGTGCATAAAATTTAAATATATTTATACCTGTATCAAATCATTAATAAATGGTGCTAAATTATCTTCACTAACAAAAGTACTTGGATCTCTGATTTCACTATAGAAAACTGAAACAAGCCAACAGTGAGTCTGATGTCCCCTGCCGAAATCCCAAAATAAATAGATGACATATATCATTTAATTGCACATATTTCTTTTTCAAAAGTATCGACCAATCAAACTGATTATCTATACTTAGTCTAAGCATAAAATGTCCACAATCAAACTCAGGCACAATTTTGAAGTACCCGGTTGTAGACTTTGATGGCCAAGGGACAGTTTCTAATCTTTCGAATTGAACCATAGACAATAATCTAATACAGACGAATTTAATCGGAACACGTTTTATTCAACTAGGAACCAAACTACAACTTATCAACAGGAGACAACTCTTGTCTATAATAATCATGTAGTCTCGAATATACATGTACATAAGTATTATTTATATTCTACAGATACTACAATCCCTTTCTTTTTGAAATCTGTAACTTAAAACTAAAATATATTTCTATTTCACTTTGAATGTCCATAGTACCATTAGAGTCCTAAATTAAAACTTTATTTCTTAAATCATCACAAATTAATAACCCACATTTATATCTCAAGTTTTATTCCCAGAGAGTTAATAATACTCATAGTCTTTGTACTTTTCTGGCATTTTTGTTTTTCTTCGAAATCTTTATTCTGTTTGAATAGCATCAGGTAATTGTACTTGTAACCTATCACGATTCGGTACATCATCAAATATTTGTCAAGTTCTTCCTTCCAATTCTTCTTCTCAGCTTGTGCAACTCGGATTCGTTTCATTATAGATGCATTTTGTCTTTCTCCCTCGCCATTTGCTTGCGGCCACAGAGGTGATGATTTCCTGTGTTCGATACCATATTCTAACATAAAGTCTGAAAACTGTAAACTTATAAATTGAGGTCCATTATCAGTTTGAATTGATAACGGTAGTCCATGAGTAACAAACACCTTATTCAGCATAGATATGATTTCGTCCGAAGTAGTAGATTTGGTAACTTCTGCTCCAAAATATCTACTATAGTAATCTACTAAAACAAATATATAATCTCCCGTTGGTAGAGGTCCCAATAGATCAGCTGCTAAATGTTGCCACGGTGCGGACGGTAACTGTGTTCTTTTCATTGGTTCTGGCAGTGTAGCCTTACTTACTGCAAGTTGGCATCCATGACAAGATTTACAAAAAGTTTCTATTTGTTTGTCAATGCCAGGCCACCATACACACGAACGAAGTCGTTGTTTCATGCCTACTGTGCCTGGATGTCCTTCATGCGCTAAAATCATTGCTTTTTCGCGTAATTCAGCAGGAATTAGAATTCTTGTTCCTCGAAGTACTAATTTTCTTATGGCGCAAAGTTCATGCCTTATGGGTAAATATTTTTTTAACTGAATGTTGTCCCATTTACCTTGTAGTAGATGATTACGAATGGCTTCACACTCGGGATCATTAACTGATTTAGTCTCAATTTCTTTTGTAGACATAGCCTTAGGTGTCGATTGTTTCGCAATAAACCTAACATAAGCCTGGTCAATGCTACGACCTCTGACATCTGTAACTTTTGATTCACATAAAAGTCTAGATAGAGAGTCGGCAATGTTCTGCGTACCTTTAATATGTTTTACAGTATACTTATAAGGCTGCATGCGTAATACCCATCTTTCAATACGAGCACAGGGCTTTGATCTAGTCGATATGAAATGAAATGAAATGGAGTTTAACGTCCTACTGTTCTGCTCCTAACCTGGGCTAATGAAGACGGGCATATGCCATACAGTGTGCTATGAGGGAAATTTTGCCCGGACAGCGGCACTACGGCCTACTTTGATCTAGTCGAATAAATATACTCTAAATCCTTGTGGTCTGTTAAGAGTTCAAAATCAGTTCCTAACAAATACACGTTGAAATGTTCACATGACCAGACAAGCGCAAGGGCTTCTTTTTCGGTTTGTGAGTAACGCCATTCTACATCAGTTAAACTACGGCTTGCATAACTAATAATTCTATGTTCTCCATTTTGAATTTGGATTAAAACAGCGCCAAGTCCAACAGGGCTTGTGTCAGCTATGACTTTCGTTGTCGTATTTTTATCAAAATAGGCTAAAGTTTCTGCACTTGATAACCTGCGTTTCAATTCACTGAATGCGTTTTGTTGAGACCATCCCCATACGAATTTCTGATTCTTCTTTGTCAATTTACGAAGCGGTTCTGTAACAGTTGATAAATCAGCAATATAACGTCCTGTAAAAGTCCTAAGAAACTATGTACTTCAGTTGGAGTTTGTGGTGCATGAGCATTAACGATCGCTTGCACTTTAACGCTTGAGGTTCTATTCCTCTATCTGACAATACATGACCCATAAACTCTAAATTAGTCAAATTAAACTGACACTTGTCTTTGTTCAGTGTCATACCTTTTTCATACCTTCACTTTTTCAATTGGAATTCTAAGTTTAAAGTCTTAATTTTCCAAGCCCCTCAAAACAACTTTCTCTGTTATCTAATCAACATTATTTTCAATCACATTTACTGAGTAACAGTTTATTTCTAAAATACCTAATTTAATAGCGATTTCACGGCCTAATAACGATTGTCCTTCTTCATTAATGACGACAAATTCTACCTCATCAAACTCCTGGTTACTAAATTTAATATTTGTCGTAAATTCTAACAAAATACAAATTGGCTGTTTACTGGCATAAGGGTAAAGTTTCTTTGTCGATTGACGATAATCAATGATATTTGGACCTGACCCAGAATCAACAATAAACGAAACGACTGTTCCGTCTACGTCTATATTTACTCGGTCGTCCAGCACTTTAGAAACTCTATAAACAGGATCACTATCACTGTCAAACTCTCTTTCTCTTTCTTCAGGGCAATTTGGATCAGAATGCCTATGTCCCTCATATCCGCAATTAAAACATTTTCCATGCATTTCCCTGTCTGGATAATGTGATTTACTGTTACTATTATTACTGTTACTGTTACTGTTAGGTCTAGGCCTATAACTGGAACCTCAATCCTTCATTGTTAATTTATTTACATCATACGAGAGGCCTTTTATCGAGCTAGCCTGTCTCACAGATTCTTCCATTGCACGTGCTATCTCAATTGTCCATTGGAGGTTCAGATTTGCTCCCTTTTCTAAGAGTTTTCTTTGAAGTTCATTCGATGAACATTTTGTAATGACCTGGTCCCGAATTTCGTCATCAATATTTGCAAATTCACATCCATCAACACTTTGTCGAAGTCTGGTAATAAACTGTTCCACTGTTTCATTTTCATCTTGTTTTAATTTTCTGAACACACATCTTTCAAACGGCACATTTCCTCGCGGGTTGAAACACGTGTCGAGTGCATCTTTTGCTTTCGTGTATACGTCTTCTTCTCCCTCTTCTTCAACATCGCTGACATCTAGGGTGTAAAACACATCTTGCACATCCATACCAGCGGTGTATAGGAGTAAGGCCTTTTTCTGTGCCGCATCCTTGGTTCCTCGGCTGGTTACGTAAAGGTCAAATGCTCGGATCCATCTTCGCCATCGGGCGGCAATTCCGGTGCGGTCTTTATTCGTCGACATTATTGTATTTTAAAAGCTTTCGTTTTCAAGGAAATGCTCTAAATACCTTCCTGTATCCTCGTCGCCAAACTGTAGACCTTGATGGCCAAGGGACAGTTTATAATCTTTTGGATTGAACCATAGACAAAATCTAATACAGACGAATTTAATCGGAACACGTTTTATTCAACTAGGAACCAAACTACAACTTATCAATAGGAGACAACTCTTGTCTATAATAATCATGTAGTCTCGAACATACATGTACATAAGTATTATTTATATTCTACAGATACTACACCGGTAGTGAAACTACATGTATACAATAAGTTTCATCACCCTCCATCAGTTAGAATCAAAGTTATCTTGTCCCAAAGCTTAGCTTTAGCGGGAAATGTTAATCATTGAACTCAGTCAGGACGTTCACCTAATGAACACCTACATCAAGTTTAAACATTCTACCTCAATTAAAAGCAGAGTTGTTGTGTTCCAAAGACTAGGCCAATCAAACTGTTTATCGCTATTTAGCCCAAGCAGAAAATTCTCATCATCGTACTTAGTCAAGGTATTGATATAATGATCGGACGGATGGACGCATTTTAATAGTCCCCTGCTTTCTTCAACAGGTGGGGGACAATAAGAAAAATAGGTTTTTAATTTAACATAATACAGTCAAATCCATCTATGAATAGGTTGAAAAAGTGATTATGACTAACGCATACATTTGATTTTATAAGCATTTCTAGTAGATCTCATCATTCTGTTTTCAAAACATTTCACAGTTTAAAAATCAGTCAAAAAGTTATTTTTTTATATTCAGGTTCATTTTTGACATTTTGATGAAAACTTCATTTCAGGAGGGTTTATGTTCTATTTCGCTACATACACATACTATCGAACATCAAGATCTACAATTATGTAGTGCAACTAGAGATGAGTAAAATACCAATAATATCATTAGACGTGCTAGTGTTCTATAATATTTGTGCTGATTGTCGACGGATCGGTATTTACCAGTACCTTACTTTAAAAACCAGAAACGAACGCTGGTCGCCATTTTGATATTTTACCTTGTGTTCACATTAGAATTTACACACATAGGCAAAGTTATTGAGTGTGACATGTCTTAAATTGTAATTTTTATCAAATCTGAGTTGATTTACTTCCAAATAATATAAATCCCACCATTCTACAATCTGGTGATAGTAATGGAACACAAAAATTAACTTACATCTATATTTATCAGATAGTCTAGCTGAACACAATGTTACCAATACTGTTTTTACTGATGATATTTTCATAAAACCTCTTCTTGTCCTAGAATATATTAAAATTAAATAAAAACTACCTACTAATACTTTTAACCAGCTGTTGCCAGAAAAGATATGCCCACATTTTGCATGGATAGAGAACAAACTAGAAACAAAAGCTATTTTATGTACAATCAGCGGCCATAATCCAGAAAGTTATGATCTGAAGTGCGCAAATATTGAAAGGAACTGGCATCTTTGGGACAATAAACATATATTTTAAAATTTTCATCAAATTCGGATAAAAATTGTGACCTCTTGAGGTCCACAACCTTGGTATTACATATTTTTACACTATTTTTGAACTAGAAGCGTGTAATGGAACTATTGTACAATAGTAGTCTGAATTTGTTTTAGTGTCTCAGTAGTTATCTCCCTTTGCATTGCCTTATTCTCAACTTTTTTTTTTTAATTCTTATGTGTTGGAATGTTGGAAGTTGAAACCATGTGGGAAGGAATTTTAGGAAATAGGCAATCAACAGGTTTATTACCTCATTCATGACAATTTACATCGTATTTGTCGAGGAGTCTGTAGTGATCGAGAATAAATAAACCATATGTTACTGGATTCGGAATTTGGATATTTTATTTTGGACTGGAAACATTACAGTAAAAACCTAGATTGTAACAATATCAACAAAGGCATCGGCGGAAATGGAAGAAAACCAAGAACTGTTTCAGTGGAATTTGACACAGCTTGAATTTAGAATAAACAAGGCAATTGAACAAATTGACCTTTCAAAGGAACAGAACCTTGAACAATTAAAAGGAAAAAGGACAACTGTGAAAAATTTATTTACTGTCTGAACCGTGGTAAATTTTAAACAGATTTCTTCGATTGTGAACAAACTACTGAATAATTGTTATTAAAAACTTGCCTATGTGTTTGAAATCACCTCCGGTTGAATAAAATCCATTACGCAATTAAATATCCCAACGGAAAAAAAAGTTCTCTCTTGAAAAGTCAATGTTTTTGCTTGTATTTTCGACAGAGTCCATCACAACATTACACATGTCATGTGATGAGCTAAACCATCGTAATATGTTGGAGGGGGTAAAGGTTGACAAATTTTGACTATCACGTGTGTTGTAATCAAAACAGCGCACGACCTTTTCGATTTTTTGAGTTTGGGCAACAAAATAGCAACTGAAGACAATGACATTAATTTGGAAACAATTGATTAACAGTCTACTAAATTTTATTCACAGTGAATATATCACCGATTATACAAATACTCACCCCATAATTTTACCCCTGTCAGGGATGTAGCCATGCCGGGCGGCACTATTTTTTGCTGCCCAGCACAAAGAAAAAATCAAAGAAAGACGCCCAGTTGTATTTAAACCCCTTTATCCCTCTTTAAATTTGTATATTTGCCGTAAATAGGTCACCCAGACCAATTTACGGCACTCCAATGTTAAAGGTTTGGATGTCGTAAATGTTGTAGTAATTCGTGAGACACAAGTCAAATAAAACAACGTGTTTTAATTATCAATATCTACCTGTTGTCATAATTCGTTGTACCCAAATAAAACACAAACACCGTTTTAATTTTTAATATTTGAAAAAAAAAAAAAAAATGAGAAACAGAGTGGGGTGGGGAAATTTTATGCTCGATCGGTTGGTGTCAAAAAGTTTTTAGATCCCTGGCATAGTCTCTGTATCATTGATGAAAATTAAGTGAATTTGGTAAAAATATATAAATGGAAATTTGATTTGCACTGAAGCAAATACAAAAGGCAGCAGATGCTCTGAAAATACACCAAGAAGGGTTAAATTTTCATAAAAGACCACGCCCCCCCTCCTAAAAAAAAAATGTTTTCCTCGCTCCGCTTGGTAGCTATTTTTTCCACCACTCAGCAAATCCTGGCTACATCCCTGCCCTGTATATTATATATATTTTTATAAAACATATTACATCCCTGTCAATTATAGGCAACTTTGTGACTAACATTTAGAAATAAACACACTTTATTTCATAATTTTAATTGATCATATTTCATAACGCGGGGTCTAATCCCAATGCTCTGTGGTTATTAGTCCATTTTCAAAGTTTATAATTACCACAAAAAAATATGATAAAAGGCCACCGCTTCTCAATAATTTCCATATTTAATTCACATTCAGACTGTTCATGTCAATAATATTCCTGATTAAATTATTTTTTTTTGTTCATTCGACAGATACTGAAATCAAAACATTCTTGATATCTATAAACATCGTTTATCATCTTTATAAAAATGTATTTAAAACAAAAAAAATCACTTGTCAGAAGAGGCATTGCAGATTGCGTGTATTATTGGGTTTTGTATGTTAATTATGCAGACCGTGGGAAAAACTCGTGCAAGTTTCGCGGCGCTAAATTTAACCATTGTCACTGCATCTGTGTAGCATACAATAACTCATGGGATGATACCTTTTACGGTAAGAGAATTCAAAGCGTTGATTGGCTGAGGCATGATCGCGATCTACTAAATGCCATCGGAATATTCCATTCTCCGTGGATTTCAAAATATTTAGGTAATAACTGAGAGTACAATCGTATGGATAGATTGCTTTGTGAATTTCAAAACGAAGCCGGGAATTTTGGAAATTAATTGTGTTACCGGTACCGAGACACACATTATAAAATTCTGAACAGTTTTTGCACACTGGAAATAATATGCAAAGAGAAAATAGAAAGACATGCAACTATCTGCGGATAATTAAACCGATGTGCAGTATGATTTGTTGATAATAATTATTGGTATTTATATAAAAAAAAATAACGTTATATACCTATTCAATGATTCAATGGCCTCGGCTATTAATTTTGCTGAGGCTACAGCAGATTGCTGCAGGTTAATTGACAGGACTGCTTAATTAAATCAGGAAATATTAAAAATATTCAAGGGTGAGATTCAAGGCAAGTAAAACAAATGTAGTTCAAAAGAAATAATCCCATCAAACTCTCTAACCAAATAATTAATACAAGGCAGAAACAAAATACAGGACTACGGGCATATTTAAGTTTGTAAACGCCCAAACTCATTACTGGGTCTGAGAGCAATAGCTTATTCATACACAAAATTTGAATTGTCATAAAAGAGCCAAACACTGTTACGACAGACAAGCCTTGCTTTGACCCCCTTATACGAAATGATCTATCCCAATAAGTGACGTAATTAGCTTCCATTTTGGTATTTCTCGGTGTCAAAGTTTGTGATGAGTTCAATTTTACAAGAGAGAACTTTTTTATTCTCTGGCATATATAGTTGTACAATGGATCGAAGAAATCCGTTTATAATTTACCACGATTCAGACAGTAGTAAATTTGATGAAATATCACAAGAATATGTCACATTTCTGAAGAAACATGGAGGCCCCACCACACTTCTAGAACTTACGGCACTCTATAATACTAAAGAAACTGTAACAAACAATTATCAAGCCATCTTGAATAAACTTCGAGACAGGATGGATAAACTGAAATGGACTACGAGATTGAAATTTTGGCACAAAGGGTCTTTGCGGAAGCCAACGCTGAATTTTCAGTTATACAAGAAGTGGAGCAGGATGATAACTCTGTGAAGGAAAATTTATCGCCTAAAGTAAATGCTACTGAATTGGTACAAAATTACATAGAGAAACAGATAGTTAGGCCTACGCAAGCAAGAACATTTTGAACAAAAACGGAAAACAAACATTCCTGAATCGAACATTGGGCCTCTAATGAATAATAGCGATAAGACTATTGATTTAGAAGTGAAGAAGATCGAAGATGAAAGGAAGATTACCAGTAGTCTAAATGTTGAAGCTCCTGTTTATACTCCCAGGGCAGATCATTCTGATATGACAAACTTTTTGTTGAAAAAAAAACTTTCAATGTCAAGACTTGTACATTTTAATGATAAACCAGAATCATATATTGTATGGAAAAATAGTTTTCAAAATATTGTGAATGAACTTATGGCTACTCCTTTTGAGTCTTGTCTTAATGACATTCGAGGATGGATGACCAGAAATAAGCTAAAACTTAACGATGACAAATCTGAATTTCTTATCATATCATCAAAATCACAATCCAGTAAATTGTTTAAAGCGGATTCCATTCAGATCGGTGATGCTCTATATCTCCCAAGAAGCAGGCTAAAAATCTCGGCTATGTTACTGATGAATTTATGTCCCCAGTTCCCCAAATCAATAGTATCATACGAAAAATGCATCATCAAATGAGAGCTATTTCGAGAATACACTCTAATCTTAATACTGATGCTTGCCAGAGTGTTGTTAGAGCATTAGTAACATCGCACATGGATTATGCAAATTCTCTTCTATTAGGAGCACCAGAAACAGCTTTAAACAGACTACAAATAGCGCAAAACAATGCTGCACGTCTTATAACTAAAACACGAAAATTTGATCATATATCAGCTAAGTTACAGAAACTCCATTGGCTTCCAGTTCGAGCGAGGGTTCAATTTAAAGCTCTTGTGAATGTGTTTAAATCAATTTATTCTGACACCGCACCCAGTTATTTAAAAGAACTCTTTGATTTCTATACTCCCCAGCGATCCAACCTTCGTTCTTCAAGTGATCGTAGCATATTGAGGATCCCCAAATATAATAAGCATTCTGGTGAATATGCTTTCTCCGTCAAAGCAGCAAAAATGTGGAATGATCTTCCAAAAACTCTTAGAGAGTCCTCTTCCATCCAGAGCTTAAGACTAACTTAAAAACCTACTTATTTCAAAAATGTTTTTGAACTGTTTTGTTGTGAATGCGCTTAGAAACACTCATGTGTAATGAAGCGCTATATAAATCGAACAATAATAATAATAATAATAATAACAAGTAGATTTACTTTCAAAAATATTTAGGAACAGAATCGAAAAAGTATGCTAATAGAATAAGATTTCAAATGTCCATATTCCAGATGCTGGTCTTTCAAAAATTTGGGCTAGATTAGATCTTAGATACGGAAGTCCGGAACACATTGAAAAGTCTTTAAAGGAAAAGTTAGATAAATTTCCCAGAATTTCTGGAAAAGAAAATTACAAATTATATGAATTGTCTGATCTGTTATCTGAAATACTTAGTGTTAAATCAGATCAAAAATATCAGTATTGTCATATTTCGATTCTTCTATTGGAATTAATCCTATTATACTTAAATTACCACCTTATTTAAGAAATAAGTGGACGGAAAAAGCTTCAAAATATAAAGCTGATCATAATGTTATTTATCCTACATTTGATATATTTGTTAAATTTATTTGTGATATGAGTATAAGGTGCAATGATCCTAGCTTTATATATGATGATCATTTTAATTTTTCTAAACAGGCCCTGGAGAAAAGTGAAAACGTTAAACACAAATATTTTAATAACAGACCTTCATTTACAGCAAAGAAAACTGAGATTAATGGATCTACAACAAATCACCCTTCATCAAATAATGACAAGTGTGATTGTCCCCTGCATGGTAAGGGTTGCGGACATGTCTTAAAGGACTGTGACGTATTTAAAGATAAACTTTGGCGTGAGAAAAAGAACATTATATCTAAATATGGAATTTGTTATTCTTGCTTATCAGGACAACATCTAATGCAGAATTGTAAGAATGTCCCTCCCACCAATAAGAAATCCAGAGAAAATCATGGCAGGGAACGACCCCCATCAAGGGAGAAGAAAACGTTTATAATAAATGTACTCAGATTTGTAATGGATTTTCAGGAAAATCGTGTGCCAAGACTGTATTGGTAGAAGTTGGAAGAAATGGAATGGACAAAACCATCAAGGCATATGCTGTTATTGATGAACAAAGTAACAGATCTTTAGCATGTACCAAGATGTTTGAACGTTTCAATGATGAATCTGAAGGACAAACTTATAATTTAACAACTTGTGCTGGTGATCAGGTTATGACTGGTAGAAGAGGAACTGGTTATTATATCAAATCAATTGACGGACAATATAAATTGAACATCTCTAGTCTAGTGGAATGTAAAAAAGACAAGAGATTCCTACTCCTGATGTAGCCAGGCAATACAGACATTTGATGGATATAGGATCTAATTAAATACTGGAATATGAGGAATCAACAGAAATTCTATAATTGATTGGTAGGGACCTTTTACCAGTGCATCATATCTTAGAACAAAGAATGAGTAGGGAAAATGGGCCTTTCGCACAAAAACTTAAGTTGGGATGGGTCATTATAGGGGAATCGTGTTTAGGACTTGTTCACAAAACTGAAAGATTAAATGTTAATAAGACTAATACTTTGACGGACGCACGTGCAACATGCATGGACTTGTGCCCGAATAACTTTGATTTAAAGGAAATAAATATTGGATCAGGTATATTTGTAAGAACAAGTAATGATGACACTCCAGCTAATTCACCGGAAGATGATGAATTCATGGAAATAATGGATGAAAAAGTTGTAAAAGCTGAAACAGGAAATTGGAGTGCACCACTTCCCTTCATGAAAGAGAGACCTTTACTACCAAATAATTATGGACAAGCCAAACATAGATTTGATATATTGGATCGAGAATTACAGAAGAAGCAATCAAAACGGAAAGAATTTTTTGAATTTATGGAAAAATTTTAGTAACGAATCATGCTGAAGTAGCCCTGGTATTTGCCGATGTTTGGTATTTATCACAAGAAGAAGAAGAAGAAGTTATGCATAGTGTTTGATTCAGCGGGTAAACATGGTGGCTATCATTGAATGATGTACTATTGCAGGGCCCTGACTTAACTAATAATTTGGCAGCAGTATTGCTTAAATTTAGAAAAGAGAAAATAGCCATAACCGGTGATATAGAGCAAATGTTTTTTAATTTTGAAGTACATGAGAAGACGTAAGGAAAGCCAATGAATTCAAATGGATTCACACTTTAAGAACATTCGCACTGGATGGCATTAACGATAAGATGTAGTCCCGAGGGGTCCCCCACTTTATTGTACATGAGAAGGGTCGAAATTTTTAGAGATTCCTATGGTATAAGGACAATGACAAGAATAAACCTACGATTGAGTATCGTATGAGAGCACAAACCATCTCCTTCTGTTGCAAATTATGGACTTCAGAAAGCTGTTTGTAACCATGATAATGAGGACCACTGTGATCTAGTATGTAAATTTGTAAAGAATCCCTTCTATGTTGATGATGGACTTATTTCACTTCAAGATGAAGAAACCGCTATAAAGCTTATTAGAGATACCCAAACTCGTCTTATGGAATCAGGGAATATAAGACTTCACAAGTTGTCTTCGAATAGCTTAACCCTCTCATTACCGGAGCGCCCGAAACCGCCCGCCATTTTGGCTGCCTCTCGACTCTAAACCACCTGTAACCGCCCGGTACCAACCACATTCGTATTTTGCACTTTTATCAGGAATCACACTCTCGTAGTCGGCGAGATGAGACTTCATCAACTTCCTTTGTTTATTAGCTATAAATTGGCGCGTCACATGAACAAGCTTTATATTCACTTTTATCGAGATATTTTGATTTTAAAATCAAGAGCCATAATTCAGGAAGTTACAATCCGATATCTGCAAATATCGACAGGAACCAAGAACTTTGGGTTATACACATGTATTTCAAGTTTCATCAAAATCGAATCAAAGTTGTGACCTCTAGAGGGTCCACAACCTTCATCTACCATATGTTTACACCATTTGTGTATGAGGGGCAGCCATTTTGTCCTGCAGTTTTGGAACGTTTTTCACAAAATTCAAATGACAATGAGATGCAACGGTGATATATTCGAAAGTTTTTTTTTTAAATCGGATAACAAGTTAAAACGTGATTTTTTGTACAATCAAGGGCCATAATCCACGAAGTTACGATCTGATATGCGCGAATATCGAATGGAACCAAAATCTTTGAGTTATAAACATGTATTTCAAGTTTCATCAAAATCAGATCACATTGTCCTGCAGTTTTGGTCCGATTTTCTCAAAATTCGTACTTAACTGGCATTGCGGTGTAACAGTGACAATTTCTCGAAATTCGAACTCAACTGACATTGCGGTGTAACCAGTGTCCGAAACAAACATTTTCCAAGCACAGGCCCGCAGGACCTGTGTGGCACGTGATCATGTGGGTCCTTCAGGTGACACGCAGGCCCAACCAATAATAATAATATTTATAGTTTCCAAGCGAAGTGCAGAACGATCAGAATAAAGGAAGTACATATAAAGCCAGTACACCACAGAAAGACTAAGGGTTTAGTAACTTAATTTCATTTCAATTTAATGGGAACAAATCTATTCACGGCTACATAATTTACGGTTTTTCTCATCAAACTAGGTCATTAACTTCAAACAGTTACACAAAAAAACTTGACGCCTGGCGATAACGTTGAGGAATGGCATCAACTCGTTGAGGAATGGCATAAACTCGCTTATCCCACCCTAAATTGTTAGCACAATAGCCCAGAATTGATTCAAATGAATTCCCGTAGGAAATGGTTTTAAAATTATAAGCTTCCATTACCTTTAATAATAGGTAGGCCTACAGCTACACCGTGTCAGTAATATTCCTGATGGATATAAAATGATACAGCAAGGTGGTATTTTTCATAACACAATTTGTAGTTTTTGTCTATCACGTAACTTGCAAATATGTTTTTATTCATTCGTCCATGAGAGACACACGGCACAGTGATCACGTGACAGCCATAATTGAAATTACTTTAAAATAAAATTCTGTACGACTATGCCATATAGTTTTCAATAATAATAACGACAATATGTTTAAAATTTAGCCTCTGCAAGCATGTGTATCAAATAAAAAATCGTAGCGGTAAACATTACTTAAAACTAAACCTAGCATCGCTGGCTTATTGACCTAGAAATTCCAACTGATGTCATGTGTCATCGGCGGATTTGGCATCGAAGATTTTGTCGGAAAAATATATTATTAATGACTGTTCTGGGGATTATATTCAACTAAGATTTAAATTTCTGTAACAACTGGTCAGCCAAACCATTAAATGCATGATCCAATTATTATTTTATTATCTACCGGTACCTGGAATCTATACGGAGCGTCGAAGAAGCGTGATTCCCGAACGAGAATCACAATCCATACCGAGAGGTATGGCTGTTATTGTAGCCAACAAGCAAGTTGATTGACTACTTAATCAAAGAGTAATAATTAACCCGTTAAATTTAGCCGAAAGTAGATTGATTTATGATACCATAGTAGCCGATTCATTGTTTTTACCAATCGCTTTGTTTAAAGTTCAAGCGGCTAAAGCCGACAAAAAAAAAACAGTTACAAATCAAAGGCTGGTTACGCGAGTCAATGTTTGGAAAAACAGCAGCTTCCGTCATGTCGATGACAAGTAAACAATAACCGTCAACTATCGGAGACTCAGAGGTTGCGTTTCTATGACAGTTCTAGCATTTTCCGAATTGTCGTATGTGGACACTAACTATGCGAGATAAGAAAGAAGGCGAAGGCCCGGCGGACCCGAGTGAAATAGGCAAGCAGGAGTCCTCCGATAAATCAGTCGGCCTCGGGCCTACGGACCGACGTTTGCGTTGAACACTGGGTGTAACAGTGATATATTGGAACGTTTTTTTAAATCGGATAATAATTGTGACCTCTAGAGGGATATAACCAGTGTGTACAAATTTAAAGTCATTCGGATGATAACTTAGGACACTAGAGCAGGCAGCATACTATGATCTTAATTTTAATGAAATATTTAAAGTAATATGTCAAAAAGACATTTATCCACGACAGACAAGGTGACGTCAAATTATGACCATATTTCAATGTGGGTATATAAAAAGTAATATGCACCGAATTTGGCTATGCTATGTTTGTTAGTGACATAAATTAGAAAAGAACTTACGTATCATATAAACCAAGTAAAAAATTCAGTGTAACATCAACAAATTTCTCCATTTTAACTGTATCAAAATGGCGATGATCTGATGTCTGATATATATCTCTTAGTAGGATGGTTAATTGTTCACAATCAATATTTAATAAACTACCATGATTATAACCATGATCTTCTAATACTGATCTTAACACAGTTAGTCTTACCATAGGTACTGAAATAAACAATAAACCTTTATTTTCTCTAATATTTCACAAGCATTACAGTATTGTGTAGAACACAAAAACTATTATGTACTCTGAAAAACAAGACATAGGTGTATGGGACCCAACAGGGGTCGAAATAACGCTTGTCCAGGCTACTTGTCGAATCCAAGTAACATTTTAAAATGACAAGTAGAAATAAAATCTACTTGTTGCCAACGACAACTAGAATAATATCTATAAATATTCTGGCTAAAAATGTCTGTCTAATTTATCCATTCCAATAAAGTTGTAAGTTCGTTCTATACGTCTGGAAAATGTTTCTTTGCATTAAAATAGTAACACTACTGATTCTATGAAAGCCATAATGTAATTGGCTGTTCGTTCTTAATCACCCAATCACAGTCAATATTACATGACTCCATGGCAATCAGGGCTCAGCCTGTCGGTCATCAAAGTGGCGATTTGCAATAAAAAAAAATGGAAGTGGTGAATGTGATTAAAATTTGATTTTAGCGATAACGTTTTGAGGTAACTAGCTAAAAAATCTGGATCGTGTCATTGAGTAATTATACTATACTGATCTTTTGTCTTCAATTAATTATTATAGTTGATTGACAATTGTCAATGATGTATATAGGCCTAAAGCCTATTATTTCAGGTTTCGTTTTGTCTTAAAAAAATAAAAGGAAATATGGCAGACAATTCTTTCTGAAGAGAATTAAATATTTTGATAGTTGAATTCCATTTACTGCCGCTTCTTTTGGCATGGAATATACTAGCATGCCTAACTGGATATTATTTCAAATTATATTATCACCAACGTAAGAAAAACGAACAAGTCGAATAGTGAAGATTCTCGAGTGAGAAAATGGTCTGTCGTTTGTTTCCAATCTGGTTAAAACACAGATCCTATTTCGTTTCCTTTTTATAGTTCAAAATTTCGTTTTACTTGTCTTTACTACACTTGGATCTGGAAGAGTTGTTATTTAACTTGTGTTCTGAATGGTGTCAGGGATAAGCCAATGAAACGGTCTCTTACGGCGAGCTTTAGGCGTGTTTTTCACGGAACTGTGGGTAATCCACTAGTAACATCAATGCTGATTGGTTAATCAAATGTCTGATGTCAAAAGGGTCATAAGTTGGTCTTTTGACCCCTAACGTGACCTATCGCTATAACTTGTCAGATCTTCATGTAGTGCAGGCCATCGAAAGTATAAAACAATGAAACGAAATATAGATCTGTATTTTAATCAGATTGGTTTGTTTCATTACCTCTGCCAAAATGTGTTAAAGTGTAAGCATCTCTTACAAATGTAATTGAAATAGAATGAATAAGTTATTTTTTAATTAAAAACAAAAATCAATGGTGACAACTTGAAATGACCAAGTGACAAGTAAGAAATATTTCTCCTTGTCAGCTGAGAAGTAAAATTTTACAAACATTTCAACTCCTGGGACCCAATATGATTTGGAGCCCAGTAAAATTTGCCTAAATTTAACCACGAATAGTGCCTGAAAAATATTTGAATAGTGCCTGAAAATATTCCCTGTAATAATTTTTTTTTTTTTTTTCCAAAAGCTTTATTTCCCAGCAAAGATATATTTATTAGAGAGAATGCCTAGGTTGGGACCTAGGAATCATTCTTTTTACAACATATAAACATTATTAATTTTGCAGAAATTATGTACACCCACAGTCCACTGTCTTCTAAATGGATTTAGATTATAAAAATAAGTCGGCTTTATTCTATTAGTAATTTATTCAATTTCTCATAGAAGCTTCATATTTGTCAGAATTTTCACTCCTTTGTAAGCAATATGTTTTTACTTCAATTTTTTCTTTTAGCATGTTTTAAATAGCTTTGATTTCCAGTGATGCATGTTTAAATTTTGTTTTGTAAATAAATTCACATTTATAATTGGCCAGTTAACCATATTACATATGTCATCACTCAGGGTTTCATCTAGACTACCAAATAAAATATGAATGATTTTCCTGTGATTCTACTAATCCACGAGAAAATTTCTTTCCAAATTTTTAGTACTTTTGGACATTCATAAATTAGGTGCTCTAGTGTTTCTGATATCTCACAACAATAAGTGCATTCAGGTTAATCTATCAACTAATTCTATATAGGAAGGTGTTAGTAGTGTTGATTCTGTGTATAATTTTATATTAAAACCACTGTAAGTTGGTATAACTACAGCATTTAAAAGGTGTTAGATTGTGTCGTTTCCAATCAATGTGTGTTATGTAGACACCTTTCTGTCTAAATTTGTTTCGAGATTTTAGAGGATGCATTTTTTGTAGATTTTTTGTTTATTTCGCTATTACCATTAGTTTTATACTTCAGAAAGCTGTACAGTTTAAATCGCAACATTGGAGATTGGATGATTACATTTGTGTGTTCTATATTAAGTTTTTTCTCAAATTTTGTCATTACTTGCAACAATGACTCCTATTTCTGAAAGTTTTTTTATGCCAAATTTTTGAATAATTTGTTCATAACTAAGAAATTGGTTATCATTACCTTTTTCGACCGCAGGCTCAGTGTAGGGGGGTGTCCATCAAATTAGAACAGGTTTCTCTATAGTTTTCATATTTTACGTTTGATGTGTATTGTGTTAAATCTTCCTGGTGCAAAAATGGAAAATTTGACCTCTGACCTTCGGTGTCACAAAGAAGAAAGGTGAATTTAGCAAATTTACATTTTTATTGAAAGAGTGATTAGTTTCGATATTTTTCAGCATGTTTTCATGATACAAGAATGGCTGCTTATTCACTTTCAATGTAAATGACCTCATTTGACCTTTGACCCTGAATATCTCAAAAACACCTCAAAGTCGGACTGAGCCTCCAGACTATTTAATCCTTGTATGAAATTTATGCCTTCACTGCTATATGTATTATAATGTACTAGTTGATTGTTATATCTTTATTATACTAGACATTTGTACAATTGAAGTCTACCATGTTTTTTGGTTTCATTATATTCTGTAGCAATGACCAGTTTCATAAGACTCTCTCCAAAATTTTAGCAATTTTTTATCCAAGAAATTTTTATAGCGGTAGTAAAGTTAAAAATATTAATCAGGTTAAGTCCACCTTCCGTTATTGGGAGACATACTGTTTCTCTGCGATATACGTCCACATTCCTGCTTTGATTGATATGGTACTTTTTAAAATGAAGAGAATGAAATATGAAATGGCTGTAATGACTGTAATATGACAAGAGGCAAAAAAGACTAGGCATTGGGTTTGTTTTGCCAAACTTACAGACAAAATATTAACCAAAAAGTGGGTGTGACACTGCCCCAGGGGGTCAGGCCATGCACCAAAATAAATAGTTGCTGTCTTTACTGTATAAGGAATAAATATGCAAAGTTCCAAGATGATCCATTCAGAATAGCAGCCTGTAGACGGTTGGATATGGAACAATATAAATAGGTACCACCCTGCTATTGAAATGATTGATATGCTGAATTTGAACAAAATCTGTTAATTATTGCAACCTGTAGAGATTTATCGATAAAAACTAACAAAAAAGTGGGTGTGGTACATCCCTGGGGGTCGGGACATGCACCAAAATAAATAGTTGCTATCCTTACAGTATAAGGAATAAATATGCCAAGTTCCAAGATGATCCATTTAGAATTCCAGCCTGTAGACAAAAAACACAAAAATTGGGTGTGGCTCTGCCCTGGGGGTTGGACATGGACCAATATATACTCTTCAAAAAAAGTAGGGGATATTGAAATGCAAATACTTATGCAGGTTGTGATATGATAAATAGTGAAGAACTTATCGCCCCAACAGAACCACTGAGCTACACAATAACGCCATACACGTGGGCGGGGTTCATTGTCAAATTTGAAACATCAAGGAAGGGTTGATGAAAACTGTGGCATGCTGGTTTATGCTATCCATGTTTGCTTTCCTTTCGGTTCTTGCATAAGATTTACTGTTTAGCGTATCTTTGCTTTAGTGTGTTACGTTTAATTTGCAATGAGACGTCTTCAACATGATGAACGTCTACGTACTATTGGCATGCTTCAAATGGGTTCTACACAGCGAGCAGTAGCCAACATGCTTGATGTGTCACAGTCTGTGATCAGCAGACCGTGGAACTGGTACCAACAAACACACAATGCTGATGATAGACCTCGTTGAGGTCGTCCCAGAGCCACTACACAAGCCCAGGATCGATACATTGGTACACAGGTCATGCGAAATCGAGGACAAACGGCCAATCAGCTTTCTGTAAACTTGTACCAAGTTACATGAATTCGAGTTACACCCCAAACGATTAGAAATCGGCTACATGCAGCCTATTTGCATGTGTGACGACCGCGTGTTGTGCCTCCATTAACTCGCCAGCACATGACAAACAGGCGTCTATGGTGTAGGCAGCGTACAAATTGGGGTAATCGTCGATGGTGTGGGGAGCAATCACCGTGACTGGCAGAACGGACTTGCATATTGTTCATGGAAGGGTCACTGGTGTGTACTATCGTGACACATCCTGGCACCGATAGTTCTGCGCTTTGCTAAACGTGCAGGTCGACATTTCATCTTTCAAGATGATTATGCCCGTGCCCACCGCGCTTGTGTCGTGAATGACTACCTCCAGCGTCACCATATTGTCCATATGCCTTGGCCAGCCTTGAGTCCTGACCTTCCCCTATAGAGCATGCCTGGGACATGATCGGGAGACGTGTTCGTCGACGTCAACGTCAACCGACAACACTACACAGAGAGAGAGATAAAAGGGGGTTTAACGTCTACTCGACACAAAATAGGTCATTTCGGGACTAACATATTGTCCATATGCCTTGGCCAGCCTTGAGTCCTCACCTTCCCCTATAGAGCATGCCTGGGACATGATCGGGAGACGTGTTCGTCGACGTCAACCTCAACCGACAACACTACAGAGAGAGAGAGAGATAAAAGGGGGTTTAACGTCCACTCGACACAAACTAGGTCATTTCGGGACTAACATATGGTTTA